CGTCATATTTATAAAATTAATAAATCGGAAAATATTTATTTTAATAACTTAAATTAAAAGTCAGAGATTACTTATTATAATTAGGCCTAACTTTTACAAGTGTGTTATGTTATATATTGTATAATAGAAGAGTGTTTTTTTCTTACTAAAACGATGTCATTTTCTTTGTAAAACGTGTGCTGCAATAAATAGATTACAAAAATCCAAAACGATTTTTTTTTAACTTGAACAATTACTTTTCTTTTTATAAAAATAATGAATTCTGGAGTTGTTGTTTATTTGTTTCTTATTAAAAACGTTAAGTTATGTGCTGTAATTTGGATACTGTAGTGTAATTTGGTTTGGTTTGAATTTCGGGCAAAGCTACAGGTTCCTAATTTAGCAGTGAAAGACTAGAGGAAAGGCAGCTAGTCATCACCATCCATTGCCATCTCTTGGGCTACTATTTTACCAACGAATAGTGGGATTGACCGTCATATTATAACGTCCCCACGGCTGAAATGGTGAGCATATTTGGTGGGACAGGGATTCGAACCCCAGACCCGCAGATCGAGCGCCTGTAGTGAAAATTAAGAAAACAACAAACAAAAACAGCTACATCTGATAAAATCTTAAAACACATGTGTGTTAAATGTTTCGTCTAAATGAAATATGACATTGAACCGCTCAACAAGCGTAAGGTAGCTAGAGTAATATAGAATGTATGGAGAACAACAATGTGGTCATCAGAAAATATGGAGAACAATAATGTGGTCATCAGAAAATATGGAGCACAATAATGTGGTCATCACAAAGTATGGAGAACAATAATGTGGTCATCAGAAAATATGGAGAACAATAATGTGGTCATTAGAAAATATGGAGAACAATAATGTGGTCATCAGAAAATATGGAGAACAATAATGTGGTCATCACAAAGTATGGAGAACAATAATGTGGTCATCAGAAAATATGGAGAACAATAATGTGGTCATTAGAAAATATGGAGAACAATAATGTGGTCATCAGAAAGTATGTAGAACAACAATGTGGTCATCAGAAAATATGGAGAACAATAATGTGGTCATCAGAAAATATGGAGAACAATAATGTGGTCATTAGAAAATATGGAGAACAATAATGTGGTCATCAGAAAGTATGT